GGAGGGAGAGGGAAGAAAGGAACCTACTTGAGACATTTACCTTCTGGAATACCTCAGAATAGTTTTACTTTGGCACAGTACATTTCCTACTCATTTATTTGGGGACTGAGGAGGGGCTGGAGTGAAAGCCACAGGCTTGCCATGTGCTAGATACGTGCTCTGTCACAGACTTGGGAGCATCCCTGTGCACCAAGGTCGTAGGTACCCTCTCCCTGCCTTGTGTTCTCCTTTCTAAGTGATGGGTAATCCCATGTTGGCTTCCCATGCAGCAGGCAGAGCTGAGGCAGCTAGCACAGTGTGTCAGTGGAGAGTGAACAGGATCTTTGAGTATCTTCAGATGCAAATATGCTCCCTGATATCCTTGATGGAACAGAGGGAAGAGCAGGAAAGCATAGTATTTGGAAGTCAAGGAGGACTTATGAGCTCCTGCCCTACTGTGGGATCCCAGAACCACCACACTGGAATGCAGTTAGCCCAACAGTGGTATTCTGGGAACTCTGTCATTGACTCCCCCTCTGTATAGGCCCCAGAGTACTGCAGACCCCTCACCCTCACTCCCTGCCGCATGTCCCACCCCACCTCAGGACTCAGCATTTCCCAAATGGCTTTACTTCTGGGCCTTTGCACATGCCAATCTCTTTTCCAGGGTGCCTTTCTCATCATCCATCTCCATACCCCATGACCTCTCAACAATCTAATATGAATGACACTCAGCTCTGGTTCATTATTAAGCAGCAAGTGAGTTGCTCAGGCTCCCTGAGCTCCCTGAGCTTTACTTAAACCACAATGACTTCTCCCCTCAGGGTGGTTAGTTTAGTGATTCAGTCACATGGTAAAATAAATACACACAGAAGGACATGGTCAAAAATTCTATATTGGTCAGTTCTATCAAGGAAAAGAACATGATAGATAAATGCTAATAGATAGATGATTGATGATGATGATAGATAGATAGATAGATAGATAGATAGATAGATAGATGATAGATAGAAAGAAGTGAGCCACATGTTTTTCAAGACAATCAGGGAAAATTGGCTATGGCCCAAGTATTAACATATGTTAAGGAATGAATGCATGGGATAAGAGAAGTTGAGTGAATCCATCCCTGGCTTCATGCTGGATGGGCTACTAGGAGGCAGGCCCCCCTGGAAGAAGTGCATCACTGGGGGTGAGCCTCTGAAGGGTGTCTCCTGTCCCCAGCTCATGTTTATCTCTCCATTCACTTCCCAGCAAGCTGGCTCCACCACAAGCCCAGAAACAGAGAGCCAAGTGAGCTCAGACAGAGACCCTGAACCTCAGCTTCCCTCCTTTAAAGACCAGCCTGAGCCAGTTGTAAGAACTGTCAAGCAAGGAAGAAGGAACAGGATGTGTGTGGGGGCGTGCAGTGTGTGTATGATCTACATACATCATATTCATGATGAAATTACCAAAGAATACATTTGTTTTTTTTTAAAGGAGAAGAGTTGATGAAGAAGGTCACAATAGAGAAGGAAGAGAAGGGCCTCATTCCTCTTTTGCAGTCAGAGTAGTCCCTGATCCCTGCTGAGGGGCCCTAAAGTTTGGATGAAAGGGAGCTAAGGGAAGCTGACTGAGAGAAATGCATTCCAGGCAGGAAACCAGGGAGTAGCCAAGGGCCCAGGATGGGAAAGAATGGCATGTTCAACAGCAGAAAGGCTAGTAGTAAAGAGGACATGGCACAGCTCCTTCTCCAGCCCTCACTCTACCTGGCTGCAGCAGGGCCAAAGGGGTTCAGGGAAAGTGAGAGGATGGGCCAGCTGTCCCCAGTCTCAGACCCAGAACTCACTGCAGAAGTCTGTGCAGGTGCGCTGGCTCCTCTGGCTGCAAGTCAACGAGCAGGAGACACAGGTTTTTGCCAAGGCGTCCCAGTACTGCTCTTTGGAACAGGATGCCATAGCCACCCCTGGTCACCAGCACTGTGGAGTGAAAGGTGGAGTGTTAAGAGCAGCTGATGACTGACTGGAACCCAGGCAGCCTCTCCCAAACATTCCCAGAGAAGTTCTCTGTCTCAGCAGGCAGCCAGACACCTGATTCCTCTTCACCCTCTAAGCCTCCATTTCCCATCTGTAAAAATGGTTGCTCTGAGTCCCCCACCACTCCCCCATCATGGAGCTGCACTGCTTGCCTGCACTGTCTGCCTCCACTTGTACCTGTCTCTCCTCCAGGGTCCTTGTACACACTGTTTCTGCTGCACACCCCTACCTCTGGTTACTTTGTACACACTGCTCCTGGTGCACACCCCCACCTCTGGTTACTTTGTACACACTGCTCCTGGTGCACACCCCCACCTCTGGTTACTTTGTACGCACTGTTCCTGGTGCACACACGCCCCCTGGTTACTTTGTACACACTGCTCCTGGTGCACACACCCCCCCTGATTACTTTGTACACACTGCTCCTGGTGCACACCCCCCCCTCTGATTACTTTGTACACACTGCTCCTGGTGCACACCCCCCCCTCTGATTACTTTGTACACACTGCTCCTGGTGCACACCCCCCCCTCTGATTACTTTGTACACACTGCTCCTGGTGCACACCCCCCCCTCTGATTACTTTGTACACACTGCTCCTGGTGCACACCCCCCCCTCTGATTACTTTGTACACACTGCTCCTGGTGCACACCCCCACCTCTGGTTACTTTGTACACACTGCTCCTGGTGCACACCCCCCCCTCTGATTACTTTGTACACACTGCTCCTGGTGCACACCCCCCCCTCTGGTTACTTTGTACGCACGGCTCCTGGTGCACACACGCCCCCTGGTTACTTTGTACACACTGCTCCTGGTGCACACACCCCCCCTGATTACTTTGTACACACTGCTCCTGGTGCACACCCCCACCTCTGATTACTTTGTACACACTGCTCCTGGTGCACACCCCCACCTCTGGTTACTTTGTACGCACTGCTCCTGGTGCACACACGCCCCCTGGTTACTTTGTACACACTGCTCCTGGTGCACACCCCCACCTCTGGTTACTTTGCACACACTGTTCCTGGTGCACACCCCCACCTCTGGTTACTTTGTACACACTGCTCCTGGTGCACACCCCCACCTCTGGTTACTTTGTACGCACTGTTCCTGGTGCACACACGCCCCCTGGTTACTTTGTACACACTGCTCCTGGTGCACACCCCCACCTCTGGTTACTTTGCACACACTGCTCCTGGTGCACACCCCCACCTCTGGTTACTTTGTACACACTGCTCCTGGTGCACACCCCCACCTCTGGTTACTTTGCACACACTGCTCCTGGTGCACACCCCCACCTCTGGTTACTTTGTACACACTGCTCCTGGTGCACACCCCCACCTCTGGTTACTTTGCACACACTGTTCCTGGTGCACACCCCCACCTCTGGTTACTTTGTACGCACTGTTCCTGGTGCACACACGCCCCCTGGTTACTTTGTACACACTGCTCCTGGTGCACACCCCCACCTCTGGTTACTTTGCACACACTGTTCCTGGTGCACACCCCCACCTCTGGTTACTTTGTACGCACTGTTCCTGGTGCACACACGCCCCCTGGTTACTTTGTACACACTGCTCCTGGTGCACACCCCCACCTCTGGTTACTTTGCACACACTGTTCCTGGTGCACACCCCCACCTCTGGTTACTTTGTACGCACTGTTCCTGGTGCACACACGCCCCCTGGTTACACTGCTACTGGGTCCCCCCCCCCCCCCCGATTACTTTGTACACACTGCTCCTGGTGCACACCCTCACCTCTGGTTACTTTGTACACACTGCTCCTGGTGCACACCCTCACCTCTGGTTACTTTGTACACACTGCTCCTGGTGCACACCCCCACCTCTGGTTACTTTGTACACACTGCTCCTGGTGCACACCCTCACCTCTGGTTACTTTGTACACACTGCTCCTGGTGCACACCCTCACCTCTGGTTACTTTGTACACACTGCTCCTGGTGCACACCCTCACCTCTGGTTACTTTGTACACACTGCTCCTGGTGCACACCCCCACCTCTGATTACTTTGTACACACTGCTCCTGGTGCACACCCCCATTCTTGGTTACTTGGTATATACTGCTCCTGTTGCATACACACATACACACACACACACACACACACACACACCATGGCTAGTTACTTCCTTCTCCTCATCCTTGATATCTGTTTAAACATCATTACCTCTGGGGAACTGTAGAAAAAAGAGGCCTATGAGGGCCAGTTTATGTTTAGACAACATGGCATTGATGTAGATATTGGGCATGGGCCAAGATGGCTTATGTTAGACATCTGTGGGGGCTGTGAATCAGCACAAAATGGCTGACACAAGATGTCTGAGGACCCCACAGTAAACAATGACATCATCTGCTATATAAATGCCGCTTTTGTGTGATTCTGCATAAAAATTAGAGGCAGGGGCTTTAGGGTTCACCCTCTCCAGCCTGCCTATAGGCCTGTGTGCCTATGCTGCCTGCATGCCTGTGCTGCCTTGTGCTGGTCTGTGTGTGTTGTCATGTGCCTCAGTGCCTCCCATTTTCTGCCTAACTAGCAGCCCATATGGAAACCTTGGCCTGGAGTAAATAAAGTACAAAAATTTTTAAAGATTTCTTCATTTTTAGTTTTTAATATTTTATTTATTTTTGTTTTATATTTGATTGTTTTACCTGCATGTATGTAAGTTCACTCGTGTTGTGCAGTACCCATGGAGGCCAGAAAAGGGTGTTGAATCCCCTGGAACTGCAGTTTCAAATGGTTGTTAGCTGCCATATGGGTGCTGGGAAACTGAACTTGGGTCCTTTACAAGAGCAGCCAGTGCTCTTAACCACTGAGCCATCTTTCCAGCCCCTGGTTTTTATTTTATGTGTATATGTAAATATACCACATGCATGCCTGATGTCTGTGGAGGCCAGAAGAGGGTGTTGGAGCCCCTGGAACTGGAATTACAGGTGGCTGTGAGCTGCCTGATGTTGGTGCTGAGAATCGAACTCAGGTCCTCAAGTAAAGTATGTCTTATCTGCCAAAGGCTCCTCTCAGACTCTTCAGCCTCCTGGTCTCCTATAACCCTCCTCCTTTCCTGACATCAGAGCTGAATCTCAGAGAGACATTCTACAGCCCACCTTGCAAGGGCACACACTATGCCTTGCTTCCCAAGTGGCCTTAGCTTGCATGAGTGTGGCTGTTTCCCACATTGCTTACACCCACTGCTAGCTTTCTGTTCAGTACTGGGTCCTCAGGATTTAGATAGTGTTCAGGAAATAGTAGGTCCTCAGGACTTAGACAGTACCCAGGACATAGTAGGTGTTCATTAAATGGGCAAAGTTTTTCAAAGCATGCCTGGCCAGTGCCAAGCCTACAACAGGCACTCAATGTCAAGTCCTTGTTACCGAGATGTGAAGCAGCATGGTGATAGTTTGTGCAAAGCCCATGTCGTACATGTATACTTTGATAAACTTTACTATGGGCATATAAACCACATCACTACAGCCCACAGGAGACAGCAATTCCTGCACTAGTGACTTCCTTGGGCCACCTCCCATCAACAGAGTGAATGTTCTGACTAGTCACTACAGGCTACCAGAGGTGTCTGGCATCTCAATGTTGTATCGACCTGCTGCTGTGAGGCCTTTGATCACACTTGCCTGACTTCATGGCATTTGTTTCCCCACAGCTCCTACTGACACTTCTCCAGGTGTTTACTCTTTGCCAAAAGTAGTCTACACAGAGCCAGAGCCTTGTGCTTCCTGTTCAACTGCACTGTGCTTTATCTTCCATGTTGAGACCCCTTAGCTGACAGTGAAGTCCTCAAAAACAGAGAGGTAGTGACAGCAGAGGTGGGTGGCAGCACTACTCTGGAAGTTGGCACGCCAGGGTCAGCACCAGGACCTTCCTGGCCCCGGGGATGAGGAAAGTGTGCCTCCCCATATAGGCCTCTCCATCTCTTTCCCCGAGTCTGCACCTGAGCATCACATGGTCAGGTATGTAAATTCTTTCCTTTCCCTCTGTAACTGGCTAGAGGTCAGCAGACAGGGCCCTGGGGAAATCTATAGGGTGACACAGAGGCACCATCAATGGGAGACTGCCTCAAAAAGTGGTCTGGACCACAACCAATCACAGAGAGCAAAGCACTGCCTAGTCACAGTGGGCAGAGGGACACTGGCCACAGTAGTCAGATGAGCTTGGTCACAGTGGGCAGAAAGACACTGGTCACAGTGGGGCAGAGCAACACTAGTCACAATGGGCAAAGGGACACCTGACCACACTGGAGCAAGTTGACACTGGGTCACAGTGAGGCAGGTAAGCATGGGGAATAGTAGCTTGGGACTGTATTGTTGGGGTTACACACACTCCTCTCTGAGTAGTACAGTTGGCACCTAGCTCCCTCACCTGCAGACTATGAACACATACCCTCCACCATGAACACACACCCTTCTCCAAACAATGCATCTAGCAATCTCGAACCCCTACCTGTGTTGAGCTACATGTATATTCCTCTCTAGACAACAGGTAAATTTCTACCTGCTAACGACCATCAAATTTTGACAGTTTATATTTAATTATATTTCCAATGTATCCAAGAAGGAAGAACTGGTTTGGGGTATGTGCTGAATAGCTTTAGCTGTCAACTTGACACACTTGGTTAGAAGGAGCCTCAATTAGGGAATTGCCTCCATTGGACTGGCCTGTGACTATGTCTGTGGGGGTATTTTCTTGATTGTTGAGTGATGTGGGAGGGTCTGTCCCACTGTGGGCAGTGCCACCCCTGGGCAGATTATTCTATATTGTATAGGAAAGCAGGCTGAGCACAGGCCAGGGGAGCAAGCCAGTAAGCAGCATTCCTCATGGCCTGTGCTTCAGCTCCTTTCTCGAGTTTCCTGCCCTGAGTTCCTACGTTGGGCTCTCTGACGAACTGTGACCTGGAAGACATAAGC